GCATGGGGTACGGGGTTGAGTTAGATGCGAAATATGTTCGTTCTGGTGTAGCTGGTCATCGTGATCGTCACCGGCGCGCATTTGTACACTGTCGCTAGACAAAATAGAATTTGACGTCGGAATTATCTCGTTATTTAGCAGGTTACTAGGCACGTCACCACACTGTTTTATTTCATCGATCGTCTTAGTAAAACTTTCAAAATTTAAATAAAAGAGAACATATTTTGACATTCTAAACATTAGACTATAGTGATCACTATAAAATAATTAAAAAAAACGACAAATCACAGTTACTATTAAGATAAATGACAGCCGCGTGGAAATAAATTTTGTTGAAATAGGTGAGCGCGTCGGGTCACGACGAAGGCAAGTGCGTTAAAAGCGGCATTTAATTAGATAACAAAAGTAATCAAAATCGACACACATACAGATAAATTCAGAGTGGATTCGAGCTGGCATGATTGTCATAATTATAACATCATATTAAAACTTTATTTTGGTGGAAACACATTGACCAAGCCTGGATTCTTATTTCATGAATTATTACGCAGATCAAGCTGCAAGCATGGAGGTAAAAAAAGAACAGAGGTGTGAATTCGACATTCAACACCAATCACCAATCACCAAACAATTCAGAAACTTTTAGCCTTCTAAAACGAAAACAATTAGCATTGTGTGAGGGCTGTGTAATTTCCTGTTTGTCAGTCGCTTTGTTTTCGTGTCACTGTCAAAAATATTGCTACCTTTAACTTAACAGGGACTAAATAGTCTCTATAAAACGATAATCACGATCGCAAAAAAGTCAACTCATTTGAAACACTTGCCGGACGTCTCTCTCTCTTCTGAAATACGCCTCAGTGATCATGGTCTGGAATTTATTTATTTCAAAAGTGTTGCGCCAGGTTTATGTTGTCGGCGTTTCTCTTTAAACCTAGTTGTTTTTTTCATGGACGAGGACAGTTTTTCCACACAAAAAAAGAATCTGAGGTTAGGTGGCTTTCTTCCACTGATGTCACACCTTCGGATCGATTAGAAACGTGTGAATACTTACACTATGACTATACGTTATACTACAACTGCCCACAACACAACATCTAACAACTCTCTCTCAAAAAAAATAAAATAGACAAAAAAAAAGAAAAAAAAAAAACGCCGACCGAAAAATGTATATCGTTTAAAAGTATACTGAATGACCAGTGTTATTACGGCTCAGGGGTATGACTTCCTCTCACATTTTTGCATTTGGTGGTGCACTTTCGGCGAGAGTCGGAAATCCGGAAACAGTCGACTGTTTCAGGATAGGTTGGCGTGGCTGCAACACGAGAAATATCCCAAATTTACTTGGATACGAGTAATCATTTTCAGCACAAAAATCAATAACTGCCCATTTCAGTGGGACACAGATCTAAAATGGGAAACGTGAGGGTGGGCATTGCACAGGCACTTTAACCTGACACATCTACAAATCAAATCTCAGGCCT